CCTAATAGCTAATTTTTGTTCTTCAGTGCTTCTGACCAATGTGTTTTTAAGGATATCAAAATACAGATAACCTTAAAGCCTCATTCTTAGTTGGTAGTAGTCAACCTAGGAACGTAATTACAATGACAGTTCAGAAAATGTTTTCCTCATAGACGTAATTTTACTTTTATCTGTGTTGAATTTCCTCAGCTGTTTTAAGTCACTTCCACTCTATTTTCAGCAATCCATCCACAGTTCTTGTTCCTTTCATTTAGCTACCTTCAGTTTAATCTGCTTATAGAGATTGCATTGATTACCTCATCTGAACATCTGTTCTATACTGTGTGAAAAGACCTTGGATGGCTTGACAGCTATGCTGTAATATTGATATTTTACCTTGTTATGTCTTATGCCTCATCTTTTCTTGTGGTTTATTGCCAGCTGGATTGTCCACTGGTGCTGACAGCCTCTTCAGCCATGCTTTAGTTTTAGCATGCTGGTGCATTACTGCCAGCTGACCTAATAAATCCCACCTAAGGGAAGATCACCCTCATGCACACATGGAGAAGCTGCAGTGAAAAAAAAATTGGTTTAATATTTTCCTATAGCTTGCTTGTATTTGGATGAGGTTGCTGGAAGAGGCATGCTCATGGTGAAGACTGGTGGTCAGTCTCTTGGGATGTGCCTTTGCAGTGCCCTGAGGCAGGTGCATGTGCTGCACTCAAGGGAATTAGCTCACAGAAACTTGTAGGTGAGTAAACTGGAGCCAATGCTGATTACAGCTGGTTGTTTGGGGTGTGCTATGTCCTTCTGCAAACACGGTCTGTCAGGACTTTGGTGCCAGTGCTAGGTAGCTGTTCATCACTAAAAGTATTGGATAATGAAAATGAAAATGGCCTGAGAGCTACCTATCTGCCAGTCCTTCAGGAGGGGAGAGGTACACATGCAGATGCAATGGTACTTGAACCCATCTAAACAAAAGGTAGTTGGCACTGTACGTCCATGACTGACTTGCCATAATTTACTCCCTGTGGGCCAAATCTAATCAATTTGGCTAACATGCTATGAAAAGCCAGGGAACAAACCAGAAGACAGGATTTAATGTGCTCTTGGCAGCCCACATTGCTAAGGAGTCATGCTGCTGGCTTCCCCATTAACTAGAGTTTTTATAAGAGGTGGTGGCTAGGGTTAGATTAAAAGAAAAAATAACAAAAATAACAGTCCTATGTTAAGGAGTGGGATAAAAAGCACACACACAAAGGAGCACAGAGCAGATGGCAGTTAGGCGAATCCAAATAACACCCTGTGCCAGCTACTCCCTGGCACATCACAGGAGCTACCAGCCCACCAGAGACCCATCACTGCAGTGGCACAATGGCAGGCAGAAACACAAGTTAAGGATTCACAGGGATGCCTTGGCTGGGGCCCTGGCCAGGGCTGTTGCAGGAGTACCTCAGCCCCTGCCCATATCTGAAACCCATCAACATGAAGCAACAGGAGGGCTCTCACAGTCACCTTTCAGACAATGGGAGGTTACTGTCTGGGAGGGCAGGACACATTACAGGATGCAGAGGAAAAGCATTTGTAGGATTGCACGAGATTTATGAGATGTTTAAGGGAAAAAACAAAAGTGGTGAAAGGAATGGGTGTAAGGGGCTTGGGGAAGAACAGATGTAGAAAAAAAGAGCGATAAAGGGATTAAGAGGATTGGTCAAGTGCAAACAGGTATGCTTGTCTGGCCAGGCCCTGTGCCCTGCCTGATCACTACAGTCTGTCCTGTCTTATTAGATGTTGTTTCTAACTCTTTTCCTGGTGAAGAGGCAAGACCATGGGAGGAGCTAGCTATGGGGGGAACAGAGGAGTCCCAGACAGCTGTTGGAGACACCAGGGGGTCTGTGGGTCACATGAGACTCATTTGTGTGTGTTTTGTATGTATATAGGTGTCTCCATTGTGCAAGAGACCTAGAAAGACCAAGGATCCAGGACCAGCTATGGGGTGAACTGTGTCTCCAAAGCTGGCCGCTGCAGAGACCGTGATGTGTATATGTGTTTTTACACATCTGTGTTTGAGTGAGGGGTCTGTATCAGCAACAGGAGTGGGGTTACAGCCTCAGGGGTTCCTATGTCCAGGTGCTAGCATCTGGGGAGACTGGGGTCCAGGGGCCAGATACTGCCTGAGCCCAGCTGCTGAAGGGATAGATATCATATATACATGTCTGTATTTTCCACTAATGGACCTTCATCCTGATCAGCCAGAGAGGGGAACAGGATAAGGCCGCTGATGCTGTATTTGTGTGAGTGCTGTGTACATGTTGTGTGTGTGTTTGTGTTGTATGTCCTGGGAGGGAATACATGCTCAGCCTTATTGTTGGTTGCACCTGGGGACATGTTGCTGCAGCAGCCTCACTTCCACAAGACTACTGGATTTACCTCATCTCCCACAAAAACGACAGTCCTTGGGGCTCTACTGCTTCCTAAGTTTTTCTTAGCTCAGACTGTCATTCCTCTAGTATCCACATACTACACTTACTGCACACTACAAGCAAGGGCTGAGTGTATGTGTGTATAGGGTAGGTAGACTTGCACCTTCCATGGTTTACACAAGAGCTGTGACCACTTGACTTCATTGGAGTCAGTCTCCTCCAGCTCAGTTACTCACTCATGGTGGTGTTTGTAATTATAGTTCCATTGACTAGAGAGGGAAAGGGAATTCAATGTTGAAAAGGGCTTGGTGGTGGTGGTGGTTTTGCTACAGTAATGCTATTTATCCTTCACAGCTGATACCAAGCGGGGAAAGAAAAGCACCATTGTTTTCCATGCTGGATCAGAGTTGTCTTGTATAGTGGAGAAAGCAGAAAGAATTTCTACTGGAGCTTGCTATGTCAGTGCATAGTATTACTGGACAGTCCAGAGGCTGTTCTGTGGTGGGCCCTATTAAGCAAGGGAGGCTGTGTACCTACCCAAAGGAGGCTGTGTACCTGCAAGGGAGATTGCACAACAATTCTTCAAACTGTCAGGCAACATAATCCTCATTTTGCAATACTGATTCTTATTCAAGAATCCTGGTGCTCAGTCATGGCCTGAACCCTGTTCAAACACCAGGCTAAGTTGGAAGCAGCAGTGGTATGGCATCAGGTGAACAGGAGGAGTTAATATCATAGGTTGATTATGGTATTACCTGGGTGATCTAAAAGGTTCTCCAGTAAAAGAATGTATATAGAGAAGATAAAATTTACAAACCTGAGCAAGACACATGCCCACAAGTGCCATTTTAGATTGGCTCGTTAACACTCAGGCCAGGGCCCTGAGTGCACCAATAGGCCTTAACCGCCCTGAGCAGCTTCACCTGGTGGGTGGGTCCACCCGACAGCCCTTGCCTGTGGTTCTTTCAGCTACACATAAGCACTGGCTTGGGCAGGTCGCTCTTGTTAGAGAGAAGCTGTAGGTGTATCTCTTGCCAGCTCTGACTCCTGGGTGGACGTTCTTGGACATTTATTACAGTTTTGTCTCCAGTCCTGCCTCCTGCTACTACTGACTGGGTTCGTGCAACACAGTCTCAGGATGGACTCCAGATCTGGTTTTGCATCTTGTCTGTGTCTGTTAGTGGACCCTATTACCACCATCCTGCTCAGCCCATTCACTTTGAATCCTTCAGGATTAGAGGACTGTGCCTTGACTGTTCAAAGCAATGCCTCTGACAAGGTCCACCTTGGCTCCCAGCTCATCATCCCTCGTGGAGCAGACCATGCTGCTGTTCCTGAGCTGCATGAACAATAGCTGTGCAAAAACCTCTGATGTTATCATACCCTTAATGTTCTTCTTTTACAGGTGAGTCTATGCTACCTGTTACCCCTGTGCCCTGATGCAACTAAGAAATGAAATTGCTGTCAGTACTGATGAGAGCTCAACCAGGTGATGTATTGTGATGTCAGCAGTGATGGGGCTGGGTTCTTCCAAACCACTCTGCCTGCCTGTTACAACACTTGCTGCCTCATGTATACAGATTCATACGCTACTTTTCTTCATGTTATTACTTCTTAAAGAAACTCAAGAAGGGAAACCATATCATCAAGCCTGTGCATGATGCTGCTGCCAATCATTGGTTTCTAGTGCTGGGAAAATTCCAGCAGGCTCTGCAGAAGGGACTAGTGCCCTCTCTTTTCTTAGACATATTCATAAGTGTAAGAAATGGATTGATCTAAGTAAAATAAGGTAAAAAGTAGAATAAGTAAAAAGAATAGGAAGCAGAAGTCTACTACACCTACTTTTTTTTTTTTTTTTAAAGCCTGTTAGCAGGGTATTTCTATTCTTGGCATTCTGCCACTTACTGAGCAGTTATGAACAGATAATTTGACTTTTGCATCTACTTGGGTTAATAGAAATTAGCTGTTTAATGAAGATGTACAAAATTTAATTAACAAGTAGCATTTAATATTATTTTTTTCCCCTCAATGAGTCAATCAATATTATGTTACTTATTCTCCAGCTTTTGTGTTAAAGTCAGCCTGTTCAGCTGCTGGAGAATTTCTACTTCAGAACATCTCTTAAGTCTCTTCTTGACTCTTAACAGAAACATGTGGTCCAAGAGATGCAAATATAGACGTCACTATCTAGCACTGAGAACAGCTCAAGGGTTTCTACTGTTGTTGGCAAATACAGAAAGTTATCTTAACAGTGACAAAAATAACAAAAATTACTTATAAACAAGAAGAACATAATGAAGTGTAGAACAGCATGTGCAAACTAGTGTTTAGAGGTTCACTGGCCTTTTTCCCTTAAATAGTAAAAGAGGAGTCAAGAGCTATGAGAAAGCCTTACTAAGTTCCCTTTTGCACTTGAGATTGCATGTTCTTAAAAATGTAAGTTTGAGGGGGTGAGGTTCTATTCTTCAGCAGTATAATAAAGCCTGTCAAAAAAGATTATGTTTGTTTTCATAATTATTGGAGGGGAGGGTGTGACAAGCCTTCTGATCTCTATTCCCTTTAACTTGCAAATTTATTTTTGTTTTCTAGAGAGGCGAAATGAATAGCAAGCTTGATTTTAAGACCATCAGTTCAAGTCAGGCATCCATTATGGGTGACCTCCAGAAACTTCTTAGCCAAGGAGAATATGCTCCTTTTATCTCTGCTCCCATCTTAGAAAGCAAGTTTGTCCAGGTAAAAAGTCATTCAAATTAAATTATTTGGCATGCTCAAGGTAAAGTTGCTTGCAATTATTACCTTTTTTCCCCTCTCTCAGCTCAACAGGTATTCCTCATTCATTTGTTCTCACTATTCTTACTCTCTGTCCGCTACACACACATAGGTAATGTTTCCTCTCTCTAGAGACTCATTATGCTCATATTCTAAAGGCAACAGTTCAGAAACCTATGAACAGCAATGCTGCAAATTAGAGAAGGAACACAGAGTGGTGTTTTCACTCTTCTTTGTCAGCAGTTCACTCCTTCCTATAGCAGCAGCTAGAATTGTTCTAGCAAATTCCTGGTTCTGTGCTATCCTGTTAATGTTTTCAGCCATCAAATCTAGCCTATATGGCAGCCAGCCTTTCCCAGGCAATCCCTCCCACACAGTTGCACCTTGTAGTATCCTTGCATGCAGTATCACCGCCCTGCCTGTTACTTAGCCTAAGCACTGGCCAAAGAACCCTGCAAGACTGTGGCAACAGTCTGCACTCCTACAATACTGCATTCACAGTGAGTCTAAGATATCTGAATTCTATTTGCATGATGTATCTGAGCTCTGTTTTTCATAGGGTTTCATTACTTCACTTTGTGATAATTGCAACATCCTTTGGTCTTGCCTTGATTAATTCAGTCTTGCACTGTTGATACACATAGAGAATGTTAATTAGCTATGAGTCCCCATTTTCAAGGTACTTTATGATTTATCCCTGCTTTATTTATCAGACCTCATTTGCTATCAAGGAAGCAGTTGCCTTTAACCAGTCAACTCAAGAAAACAGCTCCATCACTGACTCATTTACATTTAAATGGAAGGAAGAAAAAAAAAAAAGCCTTTGATCATTTTTACATACTGTCTCTCACACATGGGAGGAGATTCTACTGGATATCCGTTAATTTAATGCACTATCCTCCCTCAGATTTCTTTTTAGGACACACTTCTTCTCTGCCTGTCAAAACCAGATCCTGTCAATGGTACATCACATGTGATTTGATCACATTCGCCACCTATTATCTCCTTGTATTTTCTCGTTTTTCTTTCTGTAATTTCAAGTCTTACACATAAATTACCTGGAATCATTTTCCTTCCTGTGTTTGTACAGTGCCTAGCAGGACCCTGGTTTGTAACGAGGTCTCATTACTATCACAGGATTGCTGACAAAGACAGTGAGTCATCAGAACAGAGTGCCTCTTCCATTGTATTTACACTAACAGATAATGGTACTCAAGAGGTTTCTGACCACAGCAATCAGATACCAAATTATTTGGACTGCAAAAAAGCCAGCGATTTCCAGTCCTCCTCTACTATGTTTCAACTTCTTTCCTTTGTTTTCATTCACATTCATTCACGTTTTGTTATTCCACATTCTCCTCTACCCTCACCAATCCAATACATAAGCTCTAGGGCCCCCAAGCCAAAACACCGTTAAATGTATTGGTAGCATATTCTCTGAGAGGTCACACAGCAGATGTCAGTGTTGATGGGGCTTTTTTTGTTGTTGTTGTTCAGGTTAATCAAAGAGGGGAACCAATTTCTGTCCATAACCGACCCAGCTGCGTGACCATCGGCATCTGTCCTGCCGATCCCACGTTACTAGTGCCTGAGGCAATGCTGGTAGCATGTGAAGTGTCCCTGTTCCCACATGAAAGTATGAAAAACTTCTGGAAACTCTCAGAGATGCCATCCCCTATGGAACAGCTAGCACTTACCAGGTGAGTTAGCACTGAGAAGGATTAAATATTTCTTTGAAGAATAAATAAGAAATATGAATGTATTTCTCATTTCCATTCAGCATATTCCTTCTTTGAAGGGTCAGTTTATTAACAGGCCTCATACCTGCACTGGCTCTTTGTTCCAGCACTAACACCATAAAGCTGGGAGAAACTCTTAAATTCAAGTACAAATTTTTAGGCTCCATTCCAGTCATAATTTCAGGCCAATGCTACCCACGTGCATATAGATATCTTGATAATTACAAATACTTATTACTTTCTAAATATATCAGAAGCTGAAAGCTGGTAGGAAGATTAGGGGTACAGGATTGCAAACGAATAGGGTAGTGGAATAAAGACACTGTAGAGATGCGAACTTCCTTTACCTCCATTCTGCACACTACTGCCCAGCATTTCTTCCACATTTAGCTAGGGTCATGCAGAAGAAGAGTGTCCAAGTCCACTCAGCAGATCATTCCTATTCTGGTTTATCACTTTCAGTCTTACTTTATCTGTAGGTCTGACAGACACAGTATCTTCTTTGAGAGAATTCTCCATTTGTGTTTAATGATGAGTTTCCCCCTTTTTTTATAGGCTCTTCCCCTTGAAGTTTGTGGAACTCTCTGTCCACAGCACAGTTAATCATCACCTCATGTTGAAATTAGTAAATGGCCGTTCCTATTACCTAGAGCTCTGTGCCCCACCAGACCAGCAACAACACCTATTCCACATGTGGCTGCAGCTCATCTCTCTCCTGAAACCCCCTGAAGATATCAGCAATACCGAAGTAGATGTAAAATGCAAGGATTTTGACACGTGTCCCAAGAAAGTTCCTAGCTCAAACGACCCATCGGAAAAGGTGGGTCTTCAGCAAACAGGTATCAAAATTTCAAGCTGACCAATTGGAAAGTATCACTTGTGCTCATATTCTGTACTATCTCTCAAGTCATATATTTTGAGTGCTTTAAAGGAGCTACAGTTCTGTTTATCAAAATAGTTGGCTTGTAAACTCGCTGCAGAATTTCAGGGTCCTCCTAAAGTTTTGCGAATCAGTAAATAGCATACTACTTATTGTTCGGTGTTCAGCTTTCCCTCATAGTTGGGGGTATGTTCTTAAATAGTTCTTTTTGACTGAATTCAGTCAAACCACTGAATTTCAGTGGTTTGACCACAACACACTGAAAAAAAGCAGAGAAGGAAAGATGCAGCACAGCTGAGACCCCTGCAGGGGCTGACACCTAATTAAGCAAAGAGGACAAAGTCATTTGGTCCATTCAAAGGACAGAAAGAGAAAGTTCTTGAGGGAAATGTTACAGCAGGCAGGCAGAAGGCAGCTGCTCATTGTAGCTAAGAGAGAAACAAGGACAACAGTGAGGGTCAGCAAAAATGCTTCAGGTCCTAAAGAGAATATCACATACAGAAGTTTCACTAAAGTACAGAAGGGACCTGTTACTTTAGCGTCACACTTAGGAAGCAATTGGGTGGCTAATGATGCTGCTCAATCTTACCTAACTCTATTTCCCCAAAGTTCCAAGTAAACATTTTGTCAGCACAGTATTGGTGAGTCTTTAGTTCCCATTCAAGCCAGCTCATCTCTCAGCCAAGCACAGCCACATCCGCAGGGAGAAGAAAAAACAAAATCACATGGCCAGTGCTCAATGCTGCACGTACAGAGATAAGGAACAACTTTGTGTATGTGCAGCAGAAAAAATACAAGGGAACTAGAAAAATATAATTTTTGAGAGAGGAGAAAACTGTGAGAGATGATTCTTTCAAGAAAAATCAGTGATGAGGTAAACAGATGACTGAAAACAATCTAGGGGAAAGCTATCATATTAAGATTAGATTTGCAGAAAGTATAGACTCAGATTTGGCTGAAAAATCTGCACAGCCACATCTAACCACCACACCGGTTAAGTCGAGAATACATAGATTGTAAGAAAGTAAGTATAGGATTTACAAAATTTTTTAATTTATATTCTCCTGCTTCAAATATTCCTACATAGCCACCTTTCTTCTGGGTTTTCTGCTTTCTCTCTTATTGGATGTCAGACACTAGACCCTTGTTCCAATTTCTGGACATAAACTGGCCTGATATGAATATCAGGTCCTGCATGTACAACAGATATTACTAGTGATTCAGCATACAAAAATCATGACCCAGACCTGGAATCTCAAATTTTTTTTGCAGAATAGATGTCTTATTTTTCCAGTTTCAGTACCTTGTGTTTCAATACCTTGAGGTGTTGGCTTTTCCACTCACTACTGGCTTTTCCACTCACTACTGGCTTTTCCACTCACTACTGGCTTTTCCACTGATAGTTTTTAAGTTTGAATTATTACATCCTCCCTGCTCTCTTTCTGTTTAGTGAGAAAACTGTCTGCATGTGAGAAACGAGTATCTCTGCCTCAGCTACTTAAAAGCAGGATGCTCAGAAAGATTTTCATAAGAACCAATCTCAAAATCTGGACAGAATGGGAAGCAAAGATCTTTTCTTAGTTTCTGAATATGAGCAAAAAGAGGAGAATACTCTGGAGATAAAATTGTCCTGGACATGAATCAGAAGCAGAGAACTTGGAGGTGAAACCATAAACAAATCTCAGAGGTTAAGCTTTGGACCTGTTATCCCTTGATGGACGGCATAGTCACCTCTAGGCAAAGCTGCGGGCCAATAATCACTAACAAACTGATAATGTAGGAGAAACAGTAGTCTCTCTTCTAGATAAATATATCACGTTTCCTATGGATGGTCTGACACCACTTTATAGCTGAATATTCAGTATATAGGGGACTGTAGGAAAATACCACAAAGTTCCAGCTGTGCTGATCAACCGTGTGTGCAGATCTTTATGTCAGTTGCTCACATCTGTTAATCTTTCCTTTTTCCTTTAAGAGGGATGACCCACAAGGTGTGCTGAACCCCAAAGCAGAGGAAGAAGTTGTTATTAAGCAAATCTCCTCCAACCAAATTCCCCTCTCAGATACAGTGGATCACACAGAAGAGAGCAGAATAAAAGGAGAAACCTTCTACAACAGCCTGAAACCAGCAAGGCAGGAAATCACCATGCAGTCAAAGAATATGAATCTTTCTCTGGATATGAAGAGCAAAAGCTCAGAAAAGAGGAAAACTAGGTAGGTATGCTTGGAAAATGAATCTAATATAATTAATTTCTGCTGCTGACTTTGAAAAGTGAAATGTGTCATCTTTGTCTGCAGCGCTTTTTCGGGATTACTGTGATTTTCCTAATGCTTTAATGGATTAGGAACCTGAAGAATACAGGGTGGGGGTTCCAAGTATCTAGACTTTGGTTTCTCAGATGTTCAGGGGTTTTAGAAAGGCCATTCCCCCTGCCCACTCTCCCATACACTAGGTCCACGCAGACAGGAGCCAAGCAAAAGTGAATGAATGCTCAGTGCTTCAGTGCTATTATATTTAAGTGCAGTCTATACCATTCAAGTATCTCTATTAGTGTGCCTGTGCTTCAAAACAAAGCTTACTATATTATTTAGCACATATTTAATATTGATCCTGGTACATAATGGTATTACCAGGCTAAGACTTTTTCCTGAATTTCTTGGCAATGGCATGATGGGTTTTTTGATTATTTTTTTTTTCCTGAACTATATATATATATATTTATTTTTTTTAGGGCAAGTACAACAAAGAAAAAAAGGGAAAAGAAAACACAGACTCCAGGTATGATGTTTTTTCCAATATTGACTTGCTTGCCCGTTGCTATTCCTAATTCAATTACAGATGAGAAAAGCTGAAACTTCATGAGCTGGGAGTTCCTTAGAACAAATATGCCTATATGTGCCAACAGATCAGCACTTCTCATGTTATTAGAAGGTACCCTTTGCTCTTTTCCTGATGTGATCACATCTCACCTTCCAGGGTTCAGCGTCAGGTTTCTTCTAGAAAGGCCTTTGCCTGATGGCAGCCATTGCAACTTCACTGCAAAATCAGATAAAATACAGGATGGTGGAAAGGGTGAGAAAGATTCAGGCATAGGACAGTTCAAAGTTAAAATGTTGGCCCATATGTCCTCTGCTGATGTGCTGTAAGGCTTCCCCAAAACCATGCCTGAGCATGAAGTTACCTCCAGATAGTGTGTCTGCAGTGTCCTCTAAGCATGAGGTCTGGACTCATGTTCCAAGCAGAATGTGGATGTGTTTCGGAGCACTCTCCACAATGTCACACTGTGATTAGCATTAGCATCCTCTCTGACATCCTGCATTCCCCTTTTTTATACGTCTCCATTAAACACTGCTATCTATGCCTGCCAAGGAATGACAAAAACTGGAGCCCCTAAGCTTATTAATGCCATTTTATGTTTATACTCATGATCATGAGGTGTGTGAATGAATCAGTCTCTTAAACAAAAAGCTGTTCTCTCTGCATACTTCTCCATTTTACTAAATCACAAAAGTTTGAAAAAGCTCTTGTTCAATCAACACCATTTTTTGTGAACATGATGCTCCCGTGTGCTTCTCTTTGTAGCTGGCTGGTAGGCTGCATGCAGTTCACTGTCCTAATTGCCAGTTGGTGATCTTAAAGTGATTTCCATGACCTGGAAGGAAAAGTATTTTGGTTTATGATGTACTCTCTTTTTCTCTGTCTGCACATGTCTCCGTCCACTAAAACACATCTATCTGACTGAAAATCTTGTTGCATCTCTCTCTACATACCCTTTGGTACATTAATAATTTTTAATACCTCATTGTTATGTTCTTTTTCACTCTCTTTTTCTCTTAGGAGCCATTCATTTTGAAATGGGGATACTGACAGAGAGCAATGGGTTATGAGGAGATATAAATTAGTACATGCTCAATAATTTTTCTCAGCACTCCGCATGAAAGGGAGGCAAATAATGACATATTTAGTTGGCAATAACAAATTTGTGCAAAGTCCTAGATTATTGTACTCTTCATTTCAAATTCATTTCCTGCATTTTTAAATTGTCTGTGACACACAAACAGTGCCAAGCACCTAAATTATATTTTACTTGGGCTTAGTGCTATAGTATTGTGCTTCTTGTGATTTTATTGTGAAAATTGTAATAATGAAGAAATAGTGATCAGAACAGAAATGCTTGATATATTTTCCTATTACGTACATACAATCATAATAGTCAGTGGAAAAAAAAAAAAAAAAAGCCTGTCTTGACAAATCCAGCATTCAGATTTGTTGCATTGAGGAAAGGGGATCTGCCTATTTATTTCCATCACTTCCACCCTAGAGTTTAGTGCCCATTTTGTACTCTGTATAAACAACAACTTTTTTGTATAGATTTTGTAGTCATATATTTGCAGTGCATTTTCTATAGGGAAGAAAAAAATCTGACTGTATTTCCCATTGTTTTCTTTCTGTTACCGTCTTTGCTTCTTTCTCTGTCTGTTTCTTTTTCCCAGTCACTTACGTTTCAGCTTTCCCTCTGATCAGCTTTCCTGTTCTTTTTCTCTAGTTCTAGATTATTCTTTTTCTCACTTTTGATGTTCTTTCAATGCTACTCTATGTGTCTTCTTCTTTTTAAATGGTACCTTCCTCCAAAGATTCATTCCTCCTCCTGTGTAACTGTGTCCCTGCTCTTTCGCTCTTTTCCTTCCTTTTCTGATCATGCTTCTCCCAGTCTGCATCCTACTATCAATTCCTGAATTTGCCATATTGAATCAAAGGTAGCGTGTGCTCTTCATGGGCTTCCTTAGACCTGCAGTCTCTCTTGTCTTCTTCTCAACTACTGGTCAGTCTCCACAACAGAAATTATCTTCACATAACCCCCAGGCAGCTGAGAAGTATGACAATACCATGTCAACAGACACCAGCTATGCGCAGGTTTTTTTTACACCTCTCAGGTGTTCTGTAAGGACTAAAGGTGGTTTCTGCTGTGAGGGTGAGTAGATGAGACACCTTGTAGGAGTGACTGAGGAAGAATAGGATGGGAGAGATTGGGAAAGGCCAGTTTGGAATACCAAGCACAATTCTAATAAACTTCCCACAAAGGCAAAGCAATTCCCTCTGGCAAGTCAGTTCTGTCTTTGTGGTTCTTGATGAATGTTTATCTTCTCTGTCCTTTGCACTGTTGATTCCTTGTGCTTCTTTTTCATTCTCTACTTTTGTGTGCTGTCTTCCTCATGCTCATGATGTTTCTTTTCAGAAAATTTCAAGAGTGACAAAAAATCAAGTAGGCTGCTTCAAGTAATACCTGGGCCATTTTTCACTAAAAAGAAATGAAAGAAAATAAAGCAAAGCATCCTGGACATCAGATGCAGTTGGAACAAGGACAAGATATACACACAGAAGAAAAAATTCCCTTGCATACTTCAATTCCATTCAGAACCTCTTACTATTACAATTCATTATTACTGAAACACGGTCTCTGCATTTCCCTGTATTAGTTCACAACTAGCAACAACAAATAAATTTTGATCCTTGGCAGTGCAATCTACATTTTTCAGTGACTGAGACCATTTTTTCAGGGAGAAGATTTGTAGTCTGCAGCAGAAGGCAAAGAAATAGATGCTTGAATTAACTTCATAATGCCTGACTATGGCTTACACTTTTATAGAGGGACAAGACAGTTTCTCATGCAAGCAACTTTTAGAACATTTCAGAGGTACAAGCGACAGAGAGTAATATGAGGTAGTGAGCACAAAATCATATTAACACAGGTTTTATTTTTGCCAATGAACTCCTAAATCAATGTTAGCAAATCACTTTTACTTTTTGTTCCTCAGCTGCTTCATTTGTAGAATGAGGATAGCCAGACCTTTTTTGAAAATCATCATGCAGTGTACTAGTGAGAGCCATATGAGAGCCATATGATAAGAATTTGGTATTGTTGTTAGTGTTGTCATTATTATCTAGACACTATAAACATTAGTATCCTATTGGAATACTGAGAACGTACCTGCTGCACTATGAAATATTTTGCATTAAGCAAACTAAATATCTGCTGCTGCTGCTCTTGCTACCTGTTGCAGGGACATTCCTGAGTAGTTTACAGCACGTGCAGAATTTTCTGAACTTTTGAAGCATAAATTCTGCACAAGCATAGCTAAGCATGGGAGATGGATGCTTTCTGTGTGCTTTCGTCCAAATGAGCACAGAGATTACGTAATTCACAACTTTCAATCCATTGTTCCTTGAGAATATAGAACAACTCAATACTCTTTGAGAACAGCCCATGTGTAATCAGATTCCAGTCTAGGAAGGGCTGGCAAATTCGAATTCTAGATATTGCCCAAAACATGAACAATAGTGAAATACCATTCAATATAACTGGAAAATACATTATTTTCCATGGTGAAAAGAAGTTTCTAGATTTTGTTTAACAAAAGAGCAAAGTAGCAATTACTGACAAGGAAGAAACTTTTAGGTGTTCCCTGAGAAAATGGTTGTACAGCATATTTTCTGCTGATGGGACAGTAAGCACTTGAATGATACACCATTTATGAAGTGCTGTTGTCTACTACAAGAACAAACATTAATACTGCAAAATAAGGATCAGTAATAGTTTCTTCATTGTCATCTACACGTAGACTGGCTGAAGACGCTTACCACTTCGCACTAAGCTTGCACACTAGAAGTGAACATGAAATTAAAATTGTAACACTGGTAAATGAATGATAGAGATTTTGAGTACTCCTAAGTAGAGTATGCTGCATTCAAAAGCTGTTTGCATTAATTGGAAGTTGCTATTTTGCTAGTACAGAGGTAATAACTATGACTGATTTCATATCAAGATATACTGCCCATGCTAAGTAACGTAGAATGGAATGCAATAAATTAAACATTTAATTAGGAATACCTCCCTTATAAGCTAAATAGCATGTCTGGAGAAGCATTGCACACTACCTACACTACACACTAACAAAGAGAAATTTAGTTTGTATCCAAACCACCTGCCAACGCATAAGGCATCAGACATAACCTAGTCCTAAGGGAAAAGTTAAAATCCATCAAAACAAAGGGATTGGATGTTCAAGCACATTTTGAGAAGAGTGATGTTGATACGAGAAGCAACATTAATGAAACTCATTCTTTTGAATTCTCAGACCTGAACTGTTGTTAAATAAATGTATTTGCCGCAGTTACACACATTTGTTGTAACAGAAGACAAGCTGATGAGGCA